GTGCGCAAGACCTAGAAAAGTCTCTAGACTTTTGGCGGTCGACCGCGACAACAAGTACGGTCGACCGTGCCAAACCCTGTAGTCGATTTAGTTTCTGTCGTTTCTGTCCGGTCGACCGCGACTGTCTCTGCGGTCGACCTGCGAGTCGTTTTTTTTTTTGCCTGGGCTTGTTTTTTTCTGAACTGTTTGAGATTCCTGTTTGCATTAACCCTTATGTTATTAAAAGGGCTATTAGGGTAATTTGTAAACTAACGAAAATAGTGGAATTTTCTCCAGCGGCGGCCGTGAACGTAGCTTCTCACATCGAGAAGTGAACCAGTAAATCTTATGTGTTTTTCCTTCTGTGATTGATTTTTTCTCTCTCTTCTCTCTCATCTCTATTTCCAAATCGCATCAAGGGTTAGATAAAACTCTATCACTCAGATAGCACGGGTACTTTCAGACGCACGTGCCAGACATGTATTTTGCTCCAAGCGTTGTATTTGTGTCTGTGTTTTAAGAAATACTAATTATATATATATACACACGCGTGCCAGACATGTATTTTGCTCCAAGTGTTATATTTATGTCTGTGTTTTAGGAAAATTATATATATATATATATATATATATATATATATATATATATATATAATAATATATATATATATATATGTAGTATGTATGTATGCTATGTATGTATCTATATATATATATATATATATAATAATATAATATATATATATATATATATATAATATATATATAATATATATATACTATATATATATATATATATATAATATATATATACATATTCTAAACCCAACACACCAAGTTTGGGGTTGAAAACCCGTCATCGTTTGACCCTTCATCCACTTCGTTCATAATTTAACGGTTCTTGATGAATCAAACTTTTCACATGGCTCGATGGAGGGGTTCAAACGACGACGGTTCACCCCGAGAGTGTGTGTGTTGGCGTTTTAGAATAAGTTGTAGACCAAGGTTCAATCGCGAGCTATATCCATAATGTCGCTTAATCATGTGATTTTAGATGCGTCAAGGAGGAAATCCCCTCCTTATGCACAAGGATACCTATTAATCTCAGAATTAATGGTATCCTTGTCATAGGCAGGGATTAACTCCTTGACGCTCTAAAATCACAGGATTGACGACATTATGAATGATCCAGTCGTTGAACTTGGTCTACATATTCGAAAACCCCAACACACAAGTATTGGGCCGTGAACCCGTCGTCGTTTACCTAGCTCGATGCAGGGTCAACGACGATGGTTCACCCCAAACTTGCCTGTGTTGGGTTTAGAATATTGATAGACAAGTTCAAACGGACTGGTCATCCATAATGATCGCCTCAATCATGTGATTTTAAGCGTCAGGTTGGAAAAATCCCCTCCTAATGACAATGATACACAATTAATATATATATATATATATCTATATATATATATATATAGTATATATATATATACTATATATATATATATACTATATATATATATAATATATATAACCTATATTATATATATATATATATATATATAATATAATAATATAGAGAGAGAGAGAGAACTTGTGTACATCACTCGCTCATTCCCCTACCAGCTCCTGACGTGAGAGAGAGATGACGAGAGAGAAGAGAGCAATTATGGGTAGTTTAGTACCAATACAAAAAGTTATGTTGGTGTGATGTGTCAACATCACCCATCCACTCATTCACAATATGCCGGACCACATTCACCATGGGTAGTGAGTGGCATGAGGATGTGAACACATCACTAACAAGCGTAAAATTGCTGCCTTTGGCTACCAAGCAACCCATATTTACATATATTATAATATATCATACTATATATATATATATATATATATATATAATATATATATATATATATATATATATATATATATATAATATTATATTAATATGAATATATATATATAGCATATGGGTATGCTTGTACCAAGCCCACAAAAATTTATGCTTGGTAGATGATGCTTACATCCCCTCCACTCAGTCAAAATATAGGACCACATTCAATGTGTAGTGAGTGGCATGAGCGCATGTGACACATCACTACCAAGCACAAAATTTGTGTTTGGTTAGCCCAACCATACTCATTTTATCTCATATATATAGATATATATATATATATATTATATATAATATATATATTATAATAATATATAATTATAATATATTATATATATATAGTATGCTTGGTACAAAAAGCCACAAATTTATGCTTGATAGTGATGTGTCACATCCTCATCCACTCCTACCCATCGTGAATGTGGTCACAAATTGAATGAATGGCAGGGGATCGTGACACCCACTACCAAGCATTAACTTTTTGTCGCTTGGTACCAAGCATACCCATATTTCTATATATATATACTATATAGTATATATATTATGTTCAGATTTGTGTTTATAACAGCAGTCAACCTGAGCTAATTTGATAAAATTATTCGAGCTCCTCAAGTCTGGACTTCATCAGCCAGTAAATTTTAACAAAACCTGCAGCCAAGTTTGGGCGTTGCACTTATTCCTTCAAAAAGTTCAAAAATTTCACTTAAACCCCCAATAAGTTTGAAATGTACGTACTAATTTATGTAGCCATTGGGACGATTAACGCGCTAGACCTTTTGAATATATATGGAACTCAAAGCCGACTCGTTGGGGGCATCTTAAGAATTATGCAAAGAGAAGGTCAGGCATTGACTTCGATCCTTTGATGCGAAGCAAACATATTCAAAGTCAGAACTACTCCTATTAGACTAATAACAGATATTAACTTAAGGTCGTCAGCCCTGAGCTCATCTCTTCCGCTATAAAAGCATAGATACAATAGTGATCAAAACAAGCAAAAAATGTCTGCGCAAGTGAAGCTTTTGGGACAATGGGTAAGCACATTCAGCCGTAGAGTCGAGCTCGCCTTGAGGTTGAAGGGAGTTCCTTATGATTATATTGAAGAGGATCTTTCAAACAAAAGCAGTTTGCTTCTCGAGTCCAATCCAGTGTACAAAAAGGTCCCTGTGCTGATCCATGGAGGAAAGACAATTGTAGAGTCTCTTATCATAATTGAATATATTGAGGATACTTGGAGTACTGGGTATTCCCTGCTCCCCAAGGATCCATTTGAGAGAGCCAAAGCAAGATTCATCACAAGGTTCATAGATGACAAGGTGAGTTTTTTTTCTACATAATCTATGCATAATTGTGGATTAATTAGAATTGTTTAGGCTTTGGCACTAATGAGCCCACCTGTTT